AGGAAAATCCTTATTTTTGTCTTACCTGATTTAGATTCAGGTGCCCTTTTTTTAAATATAAATATCGTGCAAATTGTAATTAGCATTATTTCTTATTTTTTTCTTTTTTAATTTGATTAAAATGTCATATTTAACTAAGGATCAACTTGGTAAGTAGATGAATAGTATCCGAAGATCTTATTTTCTGATTTCTGACGATTCTTTTTTTATTTTAAAGACCAATATTTAAAAAGTCTAGGTACAAAATCAAGACCAACGTCGATAAGTGCAAAATCAAAAAATTTAACTTCTATCAATGTACCACCTAATAGCCCGTTGAGCCCAACGTCCTCTGGTTCATCACCACTTTCAACTTCAGAAGAGCGAAAGATTGGTGTGGTACGCGGTCTGCGGTCACCACCGCTATCGGACTATAATAGTTTGATCAATTCACACAATAATAATAATGAAAATTCAGTAGAATTATCACAAACCGTTAAAGCAACAGACACAATCCCTGAGTTAACTCAAAAACCATCCACGCAAACCTCTTCGATTACATCATCTGCATCATCTTCTAATGAAACCGAAAAAAAGACCCAATATAGAAATATCGATGATATCGTGAACGATCTCTCATATCCATTGGAAACCAAACTTTCCCTTAAACCTAATAATTCATCAATTAATCCAGAAGACGCTAATACAAAAAAAACAAATCCAATCGCCAATATTTCTAATTATAAAGATGCACAAGGGGGTTATGTCTTATCGGCAGCGTTAAAATCAAATAATAAATTGGATTCACCCAGACCGTCTAATGAATCTCCAATTACTGCTAATGAGCCTTCTGTTACACCATCAGAGAACAATATACCTGTAACTCAAGAGCGACGGAATAGTCGACCTATATCCTTAACTTCTTCATTAGATTGTGCCGGATGTGGAAAAGCAATTATTGGTAAAGTATTAAATGCAATGGGAAAGAGATGGCATCCGGAACATTTCAACTGTAAGCACTGTGGGATTACTTTGGAATATGTTGCATTTTTTGAAAAGGATGGTTATCCTTATTGCCATTTGGATTATCACGAGTTGTTCAGTCCAAAATGTGGACATTGTGGTAACACTATCGAAGGGGTAAGTTATTATTTAATATTTTAACAAAAAATTTTTTAACATTATTGACTTTTTTCAAAAATAAAAAGCCCTTTATCAACGCACTTGGAAAGTCCTGGCATCAGGGACACTTCTTTTGCCGTGAATGTGGTAATCCATTCGAATCTGGTGGGTTTATGGTTCATGATGGATTCCCGTATTGTGAAAAAGATTGGATTAAAAAGTTTGGTAATTATACCTATTTTACAAATAACATTATAAATAGTCGATTCTAATCTTTTCAAATTTGTTTTGTAACTTAAATTTTTTTTTTATTAATCGTGGATTTGACAAAACCAGCACCTAAATGCAAAGGATGTCAAGAACCTATCAGAGGTGAATTCACAAATGCTCTAGATGGGATGTGGCACCGTGAATGTTTTGTTTGCAAGGTTTGATTGTTTTTTCTATTAACTTTCTCTTTAAAGTAGGCGAATGTTTATTAATAATCCTTATAAATTAGACTTGTAGAATGCCTTTTAATAGTTCGTATTATTATATTCATGAAGGAAGCCCTTATTGTGAAACGCACTATCGTGAAAGACTGTCTAATTAATATTGCACATTATTGACAATGGAACAATAAAATATATATAATTTTTGCTAAACAATTTGCACGATATTTATATTTAAAAAAAGGGCACCTGAATCTAAATCAGGTAAGACAAAAATAAGGATTTTCCT